TTTTGACAAAGAGAAATCGGTAAACAAGTTCAGAGAAAGATACTAAAAAAAATTAAGCAAGAAAAATAATCTTGAAATCATTCATTCTCGATTGCAAAAGATGACCACCGTTCTGGGTATCGAAAGGTGTGTTGTCCTTGCTCACTGAACTAAACCTCCAAAGTTGGGTTTATAGGTGACGCGAAAAACAGCCGTCAAAATTGGAGTAAGAATAGGACGATCTGAGAGCGAAGTGTAAATTCTGATGTTTGGATAGCACTTTTCACGGTGTGTTACTTCAGGTATATGTTCACATCGCATCAACTGCTTCTGAGCCCAAATCAGTAATCTTACATCCCATTTTGAATGCAAAGTGTCACAGAAGATTACCCGACCAATTAAATGGGGCGAGAGAAAAGAAAATTGGGTTCTTATTACATGGCTAACGAGAACATCTTTGTGGCAGTTGGATCCAAGTCAGCACACGTTGTTATTGAGATTTCTCAATTCAGCCACACTCTATAAGATTCAAGGTATTTACCGTTGTAATCAACCCCGGCAAACGCATAGCTTTAAAGGTCAACCTTAGGGATACAGGGATAAGTGGCCCTAAAAAGGGCCATTTTGGCGTTCACACGGCAGCCTAATCGGTGTTTAAGCGCACTCTCCGCGGATGCTGCGGGCTAGCGCTTGGNTAGGTCAGTCTCGCTGGCTTTTTAAAGGGCAGAAACAGCGGAGCTTTGGAATCAAAGATTATACATAAATTCCTCCGAAAACCTCAATTTGGTCGAGGTGGGTGTCTGGGATTGTGACTGGTCACCATTCCCTTCCACCGCGCGAAACGCTCCTATATTTTCCCAAGTGTCTCAAAAAGCCGCTGCTGAGGAAGNNNNAAGAAGAGGCCCACGAACTGCACGGAACCTTCTTGGTCGCGGGAGTGGTCATCGGCTCAGTTGGGCATCAATGTGTATTGGGCCTCTTGGACATTTGACCTCGTCCAGACGGCGTATGATCCAATGAACTGGCCACCGGCCCCAGTGGACTGCTGATTTTGAGCTCCGTCTTGCTGCCTTGCAAGTCTGGCTTTCTAGCCAACGGCTTCGGGTGGGAACTCCGAGATTATCCTCTTCCTCGACCAGGGCAAATGGGGAGCACTATGCCCACACAACCTATGAACTCACTCTTCACGTTTCTTTTTGTCCTAATGTTGTGGCACATTTGCCAGTTCTCTGTAATTTATTACGTGCCGAAATAAAAATGAAAATTATAATACAGGGATTATTTAATTATGATGAGCATACTATTTTTATATTTAGTATTCGATCGATAGCCCTGGGGCTGCTGCCACATGACCGAACAGTTGAGTTCTCATATGTGGCTAAAGAAAGACAAACGATCGATGATATTGCCACTTCACATCTTCAGGGAGAGTGTACAGGCGACAAAACGATAATGGTCAAAATGACATTGACCCCGATGAGGTGAGTTCACAGCCCGCCCAACTTCAGAAAACTGCGTAAAACACTGAATGGTCTGAATGGCCTCATCTGCCATCACGCTCAGTGTTCATCGTTCATTTGTGATGAATAAGAGGCGAGTAAAATAGATCACAGTGTTATCTGTCCAGGTAGTCGTTCGTGGATTTAGAATGCCAGATCATGATACTTAAACGTCTGGCTTATATTTCAGACAAAAATAAACAATTAAATCGGTAATCGAACGGGATTGGAATGGTTAAGTAGTGGGTCTCCATGAGTATCTCTGAAGAAACATTCACGTAATCCGGACAGTGAAGTTAAACTTAAATTCTCTCATACCGAATTCCATGGCAGTGGGTAAGGGTTTATTTTCTGACGCAACGCGTTACACGACAGATTAACTACTGATAACCGGAGACAAAATTCCGCCCCTGGTTCCGTGACGTCACAACACGTTTGGGGGAAGCATTTTTGAAATCAACGCATTAATAACTCTTTTCCGAATGTGACATTTTATTTGCCACTCTTTATTCAATCTGTTGCTTGAGAGAAATTGAGGCAAATTGTAATCATTCATTCGAAATGAATCCAAACCAGTATTGTTCAACTGAGTCCGTATAACTGATTTTGTGGTGACTGTGGCAGACGTCATTCTGTTTGATGAATATCCTAATTTTTTGTTCGATTACGCAACGCAATATGCATAAAAATGACATGAGATATGGCGGATTCGTGGATATTTCAAAATATTTAGGATGTAATAACTTTTGTTTGCTTTGAAACGAGATACATTTTCCAATTTTTTCTGCTTGACAACAGTAAAAGTTGTTTTGTCGGTTGATTAAAAAAGATTTTTGACCTGAAAATAAATTTGATGTAATCTTGTTGGATCCGAGGAGTCAAAATTGATAACCCATAAAATATCCAAAACGATTGAAAAATGTTTTTTGTGTTTCAAAACATCATCACATCGGAACTGTTCCGGTTTACCGTTGGCCAGTACGTTCCCGAAGATTGTAAACCATTATTACTAAAACGAACGGAATTGATAGCATTTTTCACCTTGAGAAAAAGGGGTGAATATGAAACATGGATCTGCTGTCTGAGAGTGCAGTTAAGATAGCATACCGGGAGCAAACACGTTTCGCTTAAGAGCGTGTACTAATTGCCTTGTTACTTGTCAGATACATTGCGTGATGGATTTTCATCGTCATGATTCCTTTTCACTATTTGACGTCCTATCTGTCCCATCTCCTGATCACCCGGGAATTGAATCGGTACCGCAACTTTCCACCGTCTCTCGGGGTTCATTCAACTTTATCGGACAATGTTCAATTATCCTAATTGTTTTTGGCAGATTGAAGTCTTATGTTGAAATTGTGATCATTTCAGTGGTCTCGATGGGATTTGAACCCACGCATGGACGTCCAACCCAACTACCAGGCGATACCGACGGTAGTGATCTACTCACATTCGAATCTTTGATTCAAATTACACAGGCATATAGTATCCACTAGATTAACTTCAATCTCAACGAGCCTACCGCACTTTTCAAAATTTCAACATAAAACGTTCATTAAGTTTATTCAATATTGTGCAATGTGTGGTCTGCGTCATGGGTTTTCGCGTATAATAACACTGCTCTTTTCCTTTCAGTGGTTCTTTTGAATGTAATGCAATGCTTTTTAAATGCAAGCCGGATATGTGACACGGGACTGAGTTGTTTTTCTGTTTCATGTTTTGGACTATGGTTTCTTTTATTTTTCATTCGACATTGGAGCCATTTTTGTGCACGAATACGCCAAATCCGCGTGTTCCTATTCCCGGCTCTACCTCACTTTTTATCGATTTGATGTGATGGCAATGTGACTGAAATCTTTTGTGGATTCCCCCGGCCGCCATAACAAATGAACTGAATTAGTGCAGGGAACCCCATCCAATCTTCTCAATTTGCAATGATACATGCACAGATACGGGGCTGGGTGGATAGAATTGACATTGGCTATCGTTTCTGCACACTTTCATTTGGTTGTACGAGCAGATTTATGCAATAATGTTATGGTACAAAGCGTTTCGTTTGGAACGAATCACTGAAACCAGGTTAGTAGACACAAGATTTGCATAAATGTGTTTGGTTACGGGGTGAAATCAAGCTAGTTAAAAAATATTTGACAATTAGCAATGCCAGGGAACCGTTGAAAACATGATGCCAAATGAGGGTGGCAGTGATGGTGAAGCGGGGGGGGGGGCGGAGGTGGAGCATAACTAGAAGACATGCCAGGTAACGTGTTATGAAGGGATCTGGTTTTGTGTCCGGACTCCAATGGCTAAAACACATTTATAGATTTCAGCTATGCCCATTTGTCGATTCTACAGAAGACTCGAAATTTGTGAACTTTGATGTCGTTTAAGTACCAGAAACACGTTTTGATGACTGGTTCCAACTCGACTTGCTGACTAGATTGCAGAAATAGGCGTTTCCCTTTGAACGTGCGATCGATGACCAACATTGATTCTGCCTCCCAGTATGTCTTTTTGTGGTGATGAAAAGGATACATTTAAAATCGGTTGTACATACTTTACAATTTCGGTTGTATGTGGTAATGGGCAGCATACTGCAAATGGGAATCTTTTTTTAGCTAGTGCCACAAGTTCCGAATGCTGTGTTGATACATATTCGTTTATTAGCTTCAGATAATATGTAAGTTGTTTTTATTTCCAAACTGGGGTCAGCTATATCAAAATAAAAAGTACTTCATGCGATACGTTAACTCGATCAGGGATAGTTTATGGAACTTAGTTTTCTATTCTAAAGCCAGTTGCAGAAGACGATTTGCAACATTTTAAATATTTTAACACATCACATTATGGGAGTGGTTCCACGTTACAAATATTTTGTGACGAGTAGTCAGGAAGAATGTTCGATGAATGGGGCGGGAATGCGGCATTGAGATCATCAGCATCCACGTCTACTTTCGAATATAAAACTATTATTTCTAGCTTGTTCAATCATTCCAGAGAGAGAAATATAGTGAAGAATTTTATCGTTTTGCCAAAGTATACCCCGCGTCTATTGCTCTATGAACATATTTTAATTAAAAGCTCTTTGAAAACGTACTTTTCTCCACAAAAATGTCTGATTCGCAGCCCGAGTCGACTTGTTTGTCGATCAACAAGTTGCGGTCGTTTCCATATCTCTGGTGAACGGTCCAGTTAATTCCCCTTCGTGGCTATTTCGGTAATGTTACCATAGGCGTTGCAGTTTACCAACGAAAACATTATCCCGTGTAGTGAGACGAAACTTCAAATTTATGCACTGCAAATCGGACTTTCCTCGAACTTCCCTCTACACAATAATTGCCAAACTGTCTAACCGGTTTGCATGCGTTTACACTACGGCTAGTGTGCTTACTATTTTCCACCGAAAATCGGTCCTCAGTGAACGAATAAAGTGCATTCTTGACTTCACTCGTTTACCTGTCCCTCAACTCGGTCTCACACAGGCATCGATTTCCCTTAATCGGTTTTTCCCCGTATCATATGTCATGCAATCACAATCCGAGCCAAGTTCGAACTAGGGAACAATTTTTGGGTCGGATCACTTACCGGGTGCATGCTAGTATCGTTTAATAGGAAAATCGATCCGGGTACATACCAGTGATCGTTCCAGTGACAACGATCACAATAGTATTTCCCAGTCATGTAACAAATTCGCATCCGTGTCGGGGAATCCGCCAGCAGACGTGTTGGACTCGAACGACGATGTGACGGTTCTTTGGTCGAATTGGATCGGGTAAATTTGACCGGTAATAGATTGAGTGATTTGCTACTATTGGTCGTGGTCGTGGTCGTGGTCGTGGAGTCCATCACATCGGTCTGTCCGGTCGAGGCACGTTTGCTCAGCCCGTTGTCGGACAGGAATTCCCGACCGACGCTCGGGTCAAGGACACAGCCACATTCAAAACATTTGTTTGCTTGTAATCCAAGCATCCCCGAAAGGAATACAGCTTCCAAATCCAAAGTGGTTGTATCCATCTCTTTAATTGGTTGTTGACCTGGTTATGAAGGTGAGAAATGGAACAGAGTTTGTTGTTTTACAGCTGCTACAGGAGAGTTGAGAGGGGTTGGGGGGTGGGAGTAGATTATTTGTTCATAATCTCAATCTCATTATTGCTGTCACTTTAAATGTAAAACCTGTACTTCATTGGGTCAAGTTCATCCAGCCTTGGTAAAGTGTGTTCAGCTCCAACCGAACGAGTGATCAAAAAGCTTGCGAATGGTTACTTTCGAACTACAGTTTTTAAGTGGTTTGCCTAATGCCATCACTGTGGCGTACTGTGAAAATTATTCAGCGCCCTGTAGCACTGACTGGACGCGAGACCGTCATTAGAAGAACAAGGAGAAAGTGCAGCCGGAACGATTTACATTGACAGAAATCATTCCTGTTTCTATCCCACTTTTCGCAACTTAGAAGCTATCTCCGGCTTTCATCTTGCTTGTGGATGTAGACACATTGGTAATTCCGTACTCTCATATGGACAGTGCAGTTTTAGATCACTTTGAAAATGAGCGCGCAAGGTAGCAATGGAAGCTTAATAACCAAGCATTACAGTAAATGGGACTGTCACTCGACTGCAATTAGGCTTTCGTCATCATTTTTCGAACCAGCGTCTGAGCTTTCTTCACTCATGCCATTACGAAGACTGAACCCGACACATTTTGTACAGGGAAATAGACGACAAACGATTTGTGGCCTTGATCTGGTTGCATACTCTCCACCGGTGACCTTTAGTTACTTATTACGCAACAAACCGGTAAGCCTGTCATCGCTTTACATAACGTGAAGTCACATTGACTAAAATACGGACCGCATTGTGCGTAAATAGAATGAACATGTGCTAAGGTCATAAGATAATTACCGTGGCATGTTGAACAAAATAGCTTTGTGATGACTTATAGTTATTGGCAACATGTGAGGGTGTACATCTACGGTTAAAACGGAAAATCGTTCGCCGGAGGGCGGAGGGAGAGAGAGCAACAACCCGCGGTTTTCACAGTGCATAGTTCTGTCTTCAAATGCGACCCCGAAGTTGCATGATGAGAAACAATCGTGTTTGTACCTAGCAAAGCTTCCATGGAGTTTGTGACATCACAACGTGCTGTTTGTTTGGGAGAACAAGCAGCTTGAGTTTTCGAACTTGCTATGGTCAATCAAGGAACTTCCCCGAAAAATATGAAGAGGCTCAGTATTCAATCGAGCGTCAGTTGGATTAATTCTTTTTGACCAGCGGTAATGGAATTCCAATCTTAAACCGTAGCTCTAGAAATGCCCCNAAAAAAAAACAGTATACTTAACCATTTGATCACCAGCACCACTTTTTGTAAGAGCAATTATTTATTGTCTAAACAGTCCCACAGAGCACATTTTCAAATGGAATTCCATGTCCGGTCCCAAGATGAACTTAGCCCCAGATAACCCATGAGGTTATTTTCCCTTTCCCGAAACATTTGTTTACGTTTTTTATGATTGAATACTGATTTATATATAAAAACAGTGTAATATTTATTGTGATGTATTTGGCATGACTACGAATCACTGAAAACGAGCTTGTTCACCACTCCTTGTTCAATTATTTATTCATTTCTGTCACTCACTCAATCAATCAATTTGATGATTCAATATCCGTGAGCAACTAAACCGGGATTAAAATTGTTGTACATTTCAACTGTGAATAGTAAACCACTACGAAGCAATCGGATCAGATAGGTTCATCAGTGAGCTCAAAAATTATTTGATAAACTGGCATTGAATTTGAAAAACTTGGTGTTGATTTGTATTCCTTGAAACACTGACAAAGTTTCATCAACAAGCAGCCCAAAATCATCTACTCTGAATTCGTGTGTAACAGGAACTGGGGTAACGAGTCCCAGTTATTTATATTTAAGTTCCACGGAAGAAACGAATGCAGACTGCCAGAAATGGTTAACATCAAACTCACAGTGAATGTGCCATGAAAAATCTGACAGTTTCTCATTCATCACTCTATTTGAAAATTTCGGACAGTTATCAGCTCCATGATGCGCGACTTCACAGTGGGGTGCAATTATGAATGAGCGGGAACTGTGAAACTACATATACGGCGGATAGTTTGGCGGAGTTTTAAAATCTTTTCCTCGGTGAATGACACCTCAAATCCGCTTTTTATGATCAATAAAATAGCTTGCTAGTTCTATGGAGAGGAAATCCAGTATAGAAAACCTAAGGGATTCAAGTCAAGGATGTTTTCTTTGCACCTCAATTAGGCTGTTCTGCAAGCAAATGTGATAGTCTTAAGCATTTATGACTGGATTATGAAATAGTCAGATATGAATTTATCTCACGGGGCGTGGTAAGGTGATCAACCTGCAATGACCGTTTTACAGGTTGCTGTCGCTCGCCCGTGCACGACTGAGCATTCAAGCATTATATTTATGGTAAGTCAGTCGAAATGCAGGCACACACACTCTTT